TGTTATTTTAATCTAATCTACACAAGTACACAACAGCATACATAATTATTAAAACTAAAACTCCCTTACATATTCATTGATTGTTCAATTTGTTGTATAAACATTGTGAGTGGTTCATATATATATATAATATTATCTGAACTTGAAGTACAAATCATTGTTTGTGTCTGTGTTATACTGGTAAAAGGTCTCTACAAAATACATACAATTATTAATATTTTTCTAACTATTTTATAAAATGAAAAACATATTATATAAATATTAGATACACTATGAGTCATATACCCACTCTTAAAGGGTTATTTGTAATAACTAATAAATAGTAAAGTAATATAGCTTTTCTAATAACTAATACTGAATCAGATAACCAAAATATATTATACTAGTAAATACTTACTTCTAATAAATCAGAAGAACTTTCAAAAGCATTTGAAAACTTAAAAAGACACTGTTTAGGTCTTCAAAAAAAAAAAAACAACAATTATTTATTTTATAATTTAGAATGTGTATTACATAAATTAATAATTAAATAAACAGTTAATTACCTTTGAATCTTCTTTTTTGAAAAAAAAACATTCAGATCAATATTACTAAAAATTGGTGTAGATTTTATAACTAAATCCGAATGACTATTTACATCCAAATAATTACTTAAGAACATTTGCACCTGAAAACATAAAACTTTATTATAATCTATTGAAATGCATTTTTTATGTATACTTTTTATACATTATTATTTACTTAGCATATTATTTTTCTCTTAAAAATTAAGCCCAGCAAGTACTGGAACTCACTGAATATAAAATTATATGAATAGTTTACTTACAATAGACTCAATATTTTCCCAAACATATTTAAGATCATATTTATTGACATTGGCTAGTAGTTGTTGGTCAACTACTTTATCCAAGCTGCACAAAAACAGCTGATGTGCATCAACAACCGAATAAAATTGTAAAATGACTCCATTTACTAAAGTTACTAATTGTTCTCCAGCATTTTTTGATTGATTTGTTGTTGATATTTGTTTTGTAGTTTTTTCAACAATTTCAACTAATTGTGTTTGCATTGTAGATTTCAATTTCTGAAATACAATATATTATATAGTCACAGGTTAATACAATTGAATCAATTATTGAAAATAAAACTATTAGTGCTTACTTCAATTGTATCATTTAACTTAAAAAGTATGGCAAGGCACTCAACAGCTATGGGGACAAATTTTTCAGTATCAAGCTCATTAATATCAGTCTCATTATTATCATTTAAAATGTCTCTGTAATAAATTTTAAAAAATTAAAATTAATTAATTTATACCTAAATTAATTTAGTTACTTGTGTGTAGCAATTTGTGGTATATATTTGTATGATCTTCTTGTACTTTGTCCAAATGAGGAATTATATCCATCTGACCCTGTACGACGAAATGATTTAGCAGATTTTGGTGAAATAACATATATATGATTCATTAATTCGTCCAATAATCTATTGTATAGAGCCTGATAGCAAAAATATAAAATAAATAAAACTATAAAATATTAAATACATAAATTATAGGTTTCTCGGTGTTGTGTTATTTTAATCTTTATTTTTTGTTTGTATAATATTAGCATATTATTAAACATAGGGGTAAATCTTATATATTATATTGGTATCCAAAATCATAAAATATGTTCAAAGATAAAAACCAAATTATTAGTGAAGGAGGAATGACATCATTGTTATAATACAAGTAACAACTTTGTTTATAAATATGTATTACTTGTTTTTTCTGTTTCAGTTCCACTCTTAATTCATTTAATGCATCTATATTTTTCAAATCGTTATTACTTATTTGTAATGTCTCCATCAACAATTTAGTACATTGTAAGTATTGATTTTTTGATTCTAACATGTTCAATTGAAAAGGTACTTCTTTAATTTGTTCACTAAATAAAATATATTATATCATATACTTAATTATTATATACAAAAATCAAAAATTTATATGAATTCCTTACATTTGAGTCAATTGTGTTAACATATGATGTTGCTCAATACTCTCAACATAAAATTTTCTTAGTTCATCCCGTTTACATCGTAACAACGTTTTACATGCAAGAAGCTTCTGCTTAGCAGCTTGAACTCGTTCTCTAGATAAATTAATTTCACTAGACACTGATGTAAATAAATGCATAACGCGCGCAAGATTTTGATGTTCCATAGAGATCAATTCCTCTAATTTTTGATCACATCGCTTATATTCTCTCTCCAAGGCAGTTTTTTCAATTTCACGATGTTCATTAGATTCAGTTGCAGACAATGCTCGAATCATGGACATTAGTAATCCGCTCTACAAAAATAAAATAAAAAATTAACATGATTTCAATTTACAATTTATACAATACAAAGAAAAATGAAAATTATTATGAAGTGAACGGTTATTGAAATTTTTCATCAATTTAGATAAGTAAACCTTTAAAGCAAACTCTGTGTATAGTATAATTATGGATGAAAAATAGTCATTGTATTCACTAGGTTAAAATTTATCAAAATACCATCTTTACACTGAGGCACATATTATTATGTCTTGTTGATTATTCACGGATTGTCATACTATGTTTTAAAACTTAATTATTGACTAACAATTATTGAGCTCAAAATAAAAGTTAGATGTTTGATAAGGAATACTACCTTTTACAATCTAAATACTTTTTATATTGGTATTCAAATATAATATTATAAGTGAGGAAATATTTGATATAATTTATAGTGTCTATAGGTAAGTAATTTGAATAATAAGAACTCACAGTTTCCTTTGGAGTCTTAATACCCCGTGGTGGTTTACTTGGTGGATTTGCCATGGTTAAAATTAGTAAGAATTAATTTTCGAAAACTATGTAGGTATTCTAATATTTTTTTTTTTAATTAGGAAAATCAGTATTTAGTCAGATAATATTTAAAATTAAATGTGAAATCAAGTTTAAAAAAGTAAATGATTGACAAACATATTTTTACTCTTTAGAATGTAATAAACAATCATCAAAATTCAATAACATAATAATAAATAACATAATATATTAAAAAAATGTTGTACATTTTAAATTTTAATGTTAAAAATTAAAATCTCAAATAAATTCTGTAATTATCAATTATTTTCTTCACACGGGAAGTGATAAGCACCTGTTTGAAAAATGATAAGGTTCCGATAAGGGCATGCAATTGAAAAATTACTACCAACAGTTGCTATCGAAATTACCGTATTAATAAAATGTTCGTCAGCTATAAATTATAAATTATAATTAAGTTACTATTTTTTTTTTATAAAAATTAAGTTATTCAAGGATCCCGATCCCGCGCTTCAATTTGAACTTCAAAACATCCGACCTAAAGCCATGACATAACTAAGTAACGAACTACGTTAATTATATCATGCTAAAGGTACCTTATACTGAGTAAATCTATACTATACATAACCGTAATATAGGCTTAAGCGTATAATCTTAGATTATCCAAATTTGGAGACCGGCAGAGCCATGACTAAATAGTTTTATTTAATCACGGGAAAAGCCTTCCAACATCGGCCCATACGAGCTCATCAGAACATTGACGACATTGCTCTTAGGACTTCGACTAATTGCAGGCGCACTGTGGTACATCAGCAATGATTCCCTTCACAAAGACCTTAGCATCACAAGTCGCAACCGTTAAGGAACTAGCCACCACATAATAAACTGGGCCCATTCTAAAGTAGACACCCACAAATCCCCTTTTAAAAAATATGTCCAATCACGACCAGAAACCCTAAACGATGCCCAAAAAAGAACTGGTTAAAAAAAAAAATAAATTTCTTCTTAATCGTTATTTAACGGTTTATTAAAATATAACAAACAATGAGGGTGTTGCAATGGTAATGAACCTCTTCCCCCAATCATGTTACTCATGTGATTTATACTCATTATTTATCATATTTACTTATTGTTTTCTATTGTGCAGATTTTAAATTTATTAAATTTACAACAAAAATCTTAGATCACCGTTGATCAGTAAAAAAAAATTATAGACCTATATTGAATTATATAAATGTATATTATGCCGAAGTGCTGTAGCTGGATGGTTTCAACAAATGTACATGTCTTTTTATTATTCGTTTAGTACTGATGCTTATTGTATAACCAATGTACAGATTGTATGATATAAAATTAAAACAAATAAATAAATGTATATAATTAGTGTATTTGTGTATGACAATACAGTATTACTATATTGACTTCAACTATTGAAACATTATAATTCCTTAATGGTAGCCATATTTAAAAGCATTATGTTACTCTACGTCATTTCTTGAAACGTTGAATTTATTACTTTGCAGTCTGTAATACTGTTTATTCAATAATAAATTAATTTTATAATTAATAACTTTATAGCTTCTAACTCTCTTCAGTTGCAATAGTAGCATTGTGCTGAATGAAAAAAAAGTCTAATAGTATAGTATAGTAAAAAATTATAATATACTACTATTTGCGATTTGTTCATCTTGGCACAAGACAAATTCCCAACATTTTGTAATAGCATTTTATTATCAGGGTTTTAAATAAACAATTATACACTATACATGTAACAATAAAATACAGATTCACATTCATGAATAATCAGTGAATTTCACTCAGTTTACAGAAAAAATACTAACAAATGCTACTATATATTTAATTTATTTTTTAAATGACTTAATTGTTTCAAATCTAAACTTAAATTAACAAAAAAAAACTTGATAAATACAATTCAGTCTTAGTGATTTTTATATAATATTTTTAATTTTTAATTTTCTGTAGTTCCAGAAAAACAGATTAGAATTTATATTTGTAGTTAATTGAATACTTAATATTATTACATGTTATATATTATATATATAATTCCTAAATTTTTAAAGATGAATATAAGATAATTATTAGTTAACCAAATAAAAAGAAAACAGTAGTATCACAGATTAAATATTAATCATTTTTTTATGCAAGTGATCTTTAGTTGTCATATTTAAAGTTGATATCAAGATCATGGATAAATTTTTTCAACTCTGCTATCAACGAAAACGGGTTAGGAGAATTTATGCGTTTATTTTCAAATTCTGTCACAATTTGTTCAAGTTCTTTTTTCTTCGAGGCTTCAATTTCTAAGTGGGCAATATGCTTGACAGGCGATTGATCATTTAAATCAAATTTATTTAACTCCGATTTGAGATTTTGATAGAATTGGTATACTTCTTTTTTACAAGTTTCTCTTTCAACAAGCAAATCATTTGAGTTTGCAAGAGAATTGTTTTCTTCCATATGTATTTCATGTATTTTTGTAGGGTTAACATTTGTACAAACTATATCACAATCTGTATTAGCATTATTATTATTTTGTAAATTATTAATTTCTTTATTTTGAAGCGAGTTTGATTCTTCGTGTTCTAACTTGTTAAAATTAGTAATATTGTCAATATTGCATTCTTTCATATTTTCAGTTAAAGATTTCAGATGTTTTAATTCATTGGCTTCTGAAGTTATTATTACTTTACTGTCTACAATCTCAGTATTCTCATTTTCGTCCTCACTTTTTATTGACTCTATACATCCAATAACCTCTTCATTTATTGAACCTATATTAAAATTAAGTAAAAGTATAAAAATACTAAAAAGAAATTAAAGAGATAATTAAACACTTATTACCAATGCTAACTTCAGTTGAGCTAGTAGTCAGTAACTGATTTATGCGTTCAATTTCTTTTTTAGCTTTAAAGTAGTTTGAAGTTTCTAAGTCCATTATATCATGAATATAATTGTTAAGTAACTGTTGAAATTGTTGAGTTAAAATAATAATTTCACTGAAATATTTTTCTTTGTCAGAAATATCTTCATCAACTGGTAAGTTTAGTTTTTTGTTTATACTAGTATACAAAGTTTTTAACCATGAAAAACAAGTATAACACAAATAAGCTCGGATAGATTTTATCAAGTTGTCGTTCAATTCAAAATGTACATATGAATCCAATGTTAAAGGTCCTAAAACAATAAATAAAAATAAAATAACATGATTTATCAAGATAATTTTATTATCATTTATTACCTTTAGGAAAAATCCACATAATCAATCTTGAAAGAATCTTATTAAATTTTGAATTGGAATCTATATACACTGTTTCATAGTTATAGGCAAGTGCAAAACATTTTATTAAACGCTTTTGAGAATCTACAGTGAATATTCCAGTTTTTTGATACTGTAAAGCTATTAAACAGAACTGGCCCGCTAAGAATACAGTAATCTATAAAAGAAAATTGATAATAATTATTAGAGAGAAACAACTTTATTTAAAGCGAACTGCCTGTCTGTTCGGTTCCCTATATGACCTATAGTTGTTTAGTTTTTGTTCTATTTTATCCTATTAAGTTAAATTTATTGTTATACAAGAAACTTTTTTTAACTAACATTATTCAAATCATAATAAAAATAAAAAAAGGAAAAGTGCATTGTACAATTTACAGACATTTTCCTGCTGAATTCAATATTTTTTCAGAATCAAAATCGGACAACGTTAACTAACTGTAATGTTGCCTTAAGAATACGTAAGTTGTAGTAAAATTCATATAATAAATAATATATTGTTATCGAGTTATTGACATGCGTATGCATATACAAGAGTGGTATCTGCATGGATTTTCACCCACAAAAATAATAATTTACTACTAACAAATAATAGCTGTAGCAAGACCCCTTGAATACAAAATAAAAATAATAATGTTTCTATACACAAAAAAAAATAATTTACTACTAACAAATAATAGCTGTAGCAAGACCCCTTAAATACAAAATAAAAATAATAATGTTTCTATACACAAAAAAAATAATTTACTTTACCATTGGCATCAAAAGTGAAGCATCAGAAATAAATTCTGACCCCACTATTTTTAGTAATTTGTCATAATAATCTGGTTTATACTCTACATGCTCCAAAATATAATTGAAAATTGAAAAATTTTCCTCGTTTGATGTAGCGCAAATCCAGTTTTTAATTATAATATGAGTTACTTTGGGGTCGAACTCATACATTGCTTCATGAACACCAGTCCACATGTTTAAATACTACAAAAAATCACAATGAAATTTTAAAATAAAATTTAAAATGAGATGCAAATATAACCTAACTAATTTTATTTTATTAATTTATATTTTTAAATACTTTAAATATTTAATATGCTAATTATGAATAAATATATTAACTTAAAGGAGCACAGAACACAAAAAAATGTTTTTTTCAAATTATTATTTAATATTGAATGATTGTGTAGAACTATCAAAATTGATTTGGTCAAAATTCAATGTAAAAAAAATTATATTTATGGCGATATTAGGATGGTATTTGGAATGACCGGGTGACGTCATTGGGCTGGACTCGATATAACTTATATCTATATCGTATATCTTATACATGTTAAAGTTGCTCACTTTACACAATGATTTACCTATCTAACATTTTTATTTGAGTATAAATGTGTGAATTTATGTGTAATAGACGATAGAGGTATAAGATCTGTAATGTAATGTTTTGTATATAAAAAATACTAAAAGAGATGATGGCCGGTTGCGTCATATTGTGTTGCCGAAAGTGACTGCTGCAGTTACATGGCAAGAGCAAGAAAAATGTATTTTATAAGATTTTAAATATTTAAAAAAAACTAAACACTTTAGACTAATTCTGATCCCACAAATGTCTTCAGTGCACAAAACCACATCATTTACATGCAACAAAAGTTAAAAAATATACTTTAAAGTTTAAAGGTAAGTAAATTATTTTGTGAAACAAGCAACTATTACACATCTATAGATGGGCAATTACTGAGGAACCCGGCCTTACGAACGCATCTTTTTTAAATTCCTCATAACTTATAAATTATGTGATTAGAAATGTTAAACCTACACCATTTTTATTGGAATTGAACATTCTTTCAAATAATAAAAAAAAATTAATAATTTTGTGTTTTGTGCTCCTTTAAGATAGTACCTAATAAAAAGAGGTTATACATTTATAAGAAGTAACAGCAAAACCAAAATGTTTAGTGCATTCACAATGCAAATACAATAAATATATAACAATTATAGAGACAAAACACGGAAACATTATCTGCTACCACCTTTAGACAAACTGTCAAGAAATGCATTTGAAGTTTCTTTTTTGAAAAACCAATTTCATTAATAATTTACAAAAAAGAAAATAATATAACTTAATGATGCATTGTTTAGGGTAATATAGTATCTCTAACTAAAAGTAAATTAATGAAAATAACTTACATTAAGTTTAGGATGATTTTTTAGAAGATCTCTAGCTTCATTCCATTTATGATGTCTAAAATATTCAGTTTTCAATAAATTAACAACCAATGACTCTTCCATATCTTCATCTACATATCTAGCTAGCTTGGCAGCTAATGACAATTCTTTGACTTGCTTAATTTTTGTAAGGCATAAAATAGCATTTCGCGTATCGTTTATACTCAGAAAACTAAAAAATAATTTCATAATTTAACAATATAAATAAACATATAATTTTTAATGTTAGATTTATAATAATATTCTAACCAATGAGCAGCTTCTTTGGGATGTCCGTGAAGAATATTGTATTCAGCCCACTTTTTAGTTATTTCCAATACAATCTCATCATTTTGCTTATCTTGGCTCTTAGCAATTGCTAAAGCTTCGCGGAACAAATTATTTTTTAGTAACATCGTTGCAGCCTCATCATATTTTTTTATAGCTACTAAATATGTTGATGCTTTAGTAACTTCTCCAACATCTTCTAGTTGACTGGCATATACATCACACATTTTTGTCCATAATCTATAAATAAATATATAAATTTAATATTGAAATGTTCATCCATTTGAAAATACAATAGTACATACTCATAACTAACACTTGGGGCAACAGCTATCATCCAATCACTGATAGTTTTTGTTGCAATTGCATCCTTAAAATAACCTTCTAAGTTTTGACCCCATATATTTATATTGTTCATACAAGGAATCATTTGATTTGAAGACTTTTTTTTTAATGCACTGTCTACACAAAATAATTAATTAATTATAGCAATTTAAATTTGTTTTTCTTATGAATAAGACTTTGAAATTCTAGAGCTCATACAATTTGGACTTAACATATCAACATTTTATAAAAAAACAGTAAGTAATTTATTCTATATATAAGTCTAAGTAAATTACATTTTTACATATTATTAAGACAATAAGACAATATATTTGGAAATTATTATCATAATTAACTTAAATAATAATAACTAGTTAAAACTTTTAGTTATAATTATTAGAGTTGCCATCACAAAAGTTAGTGGCAGGAATCACATACTCGATGTACTATATACATAATTTACCATTAACATACATAACAATATATGAACTACAAAGTAAACCATAATAATTTCAAATGTTGCCTATTATGAACACTGTGTGTATAGCATTCAAAGCCCCTGTCCCGGGTCTCTTGCATTCGTATGACATTTTGGGGCTCACGTTATAAAAAAATAATATATTCTGAGGCCTTGACTAAAACAAATTACCCCAGGCATTGCTTCATGTTAAAGCTGGCTCTGATATCATTATAAGAAACACTCAATTTCATGGCTTGATTACATTTTGATTAATATACAATTAATATAGACATTTAAAAAAACATTTCAAAATTTTAACCCTCTAGATTTCCACCAGTATAGCTTGTATTTATTTTTTTATTAAATACTATTAACGGTTTATTTATTTATAATCAATGGTTACTATTTAAAAATAATACAAGTTCAACTGCACATGCACATACTGTGGTCTGGCTGTCTGGGAGGTTAAAATATTTGAAATGTTCCAATAAATATCTGATTTAGGTATCTTCTAGATTGTAAAAAAATCTCTTTATCTAATCCCAAAGTCTGTCAAGAAATTGTGTATTCCCCTAACCTATGAACATATGGTATATCAGAACTATGTTTGGCCAAAAAATCTATAATTTGTGTAAATTAAATTTGAATTAAAATGTTACTTTTACTCTAAAAACTGTTCCATATAAGAGTAACCTCCAACGGGAATCCTTGATGATATTTTATTTTAAATTTAAACTTAAAATTTCATATTTTGGTTTGACTTCAACATCAAAAAATTATAGGTTACACATAATTTCTACTTTCTAGTATTAATAATTTCTAACTTACATTCATTAACTAAAAACTTTTTCATTTCTGTATTTGTACCAAAAAATGCCAAATAATTTATATCTTCATCTACTGACACATTGTTTGAATACTTTGAATTGATGAATTTATCTACAGCTTTTTCTAAATGTTTTCCAATAAAAAGTTCATAACTTGATAATGGAAACTGTTGAATTTTATTTGATTGTTCTTTGCTTGAATCTGTATTTACAATAAATATCAATTAAGTTATAATACACTATACCAGAGGTTCTCAAACCCTTTTTTTTTTTTATATACTAAACGTATATTGAGGACCAGTCATGTTCAAAAATTGGTAGGCGTAACAGTTTGAGGACCTCTGCACTAAACTAATCGAAATGGAAGTTTAATAGTTAATACCTAAAGGTATACCTAAGTATATACCTAAAGGCAAATAATAAATAATTACATATTACATCTATGGCCCAATAAAAAATATAATAACCAGTGTCATAATAAGTGATTGTCATTTAAGTACTAAAACTGAGATAGTTTTGACAAATAAAATCCACCAAAATGTAGAGCATGTCTTTTAAAACTTATGTACTCTATTTCAAAAGAGAATACCCAGGCTGCAGACGGGTTTTCATCTAGTACTGAGCATATTTCAGCATATAACACCCAGTATTGCCTGGCTACAATAACAGGTCAGACAAGTTTGTACAATTGTACCGATGCATTCTGGGAAGGTTGACATTGTGTGGTAAGAGATTATTAGACATCAATACTGCTGTATACTTTATTCAGAATAAGAACAGACCCGGCTGCTGACGAAAGCCATTGTTGTTCACGCATCCATCCCCACTACAGATGCTTCCAAAATATTCACTATTACCGAATAATTAACAAATCGGCCACCAGATGGGGTCTGGCAGCGCCAAGTTCAGTTACGATGCATGAATGCAAACTTTTCTTATTCTGAATAGAGTATAGATGTCAGTCGCTATTCAAAGAAAGTGGGTATTTTATTTGGAATTTGGGTATAAGTATAGATTAATTAAAAGGCAATACCTATCTAAGATTTATTAGTGAATGAGGTATTAATTTGTTTCTAAACTTATAGAATTAGATAACATCTCAAGATGTCTAAGGTATTACCTTAGTACATACAATTTCGACCAAAAACACTAATTAAAATGTGTTCTATTATGTTAGAAGTATAGAAAAAACTAAATAAATACCAGTTGTAGAATTATCGGCAACTTTTGTAACAATTTTTTCTTTAACAATATTAGGAGTATCTTGATTTTCTAAAACATAAAAAATATTGTCAATTTGATGACCCAATGGCCAACACTAGTAAACAATAATAAATATTTATAAGCATTCATTTTACTTTTGAACTCAGTTGTGTAATTGTGTAAATCTTTTGATAATCGCCATGAATGGATGGAATGATCAGCAGAGCCAGTAAATACTATATCAGCATCACAAGGTGAGAATATTCCACACAACACAGTGGATAAATGTTTAGAATAAACTCCAATAAGTGTACATTTTTCAACATTCCATACCTGAAATTACAAAGACATTATACTAAAGATACTAAAATTTTAATTTTAAGAAACCAATTATTCAATTTTGTATGTTATTTATAGTAAATACATTTAATAGCAATAATAATATATAAAAACAGTAAAACAAAAAATTATAAATACTATAAATAAATACAATACAATTTTATAACTAAATACGCTTGTTGTTTACTTTTTGTAATGTATTTTGACATGTTAGTAGGTGGTTAGTCTTCCCTACCCGTTGTAAAGTAGTTGGGTGCCATTAAGACCACTTGTTAAATCACTTAAACACTACATTTTAATTATTCTATAATATGTTAAAATTGATCATATCAAACTTCATGAAAACTCAAAAGGCTCAATGATGAAATACTAGTATTAATTTACTACAATATTGGATGACAACAGCACTTTTAGTAAATTATATTATTATTATAAATATTATTTAATTGTTTTAACATTGAGGTATATACATTAATATATTAATTATATAAATTTTTTAAATAATGTATAATCCTATTAGTTTAAATATATAATTAAAAAATATGGCAAAAATTAACATACCTTGGCAGTAAAATCATTGAACCAACTCAAAGTATTAAATTATGATGAGGACTCCATGCTAGTTCATTGATTTTTTCTTTGTGTCCTTTAAATTCAACAACCAATGATGGAGTACAATCTGAAAAATTAAATTAAACAATAAATACCTAGTTTAAATAAAGATTGTAAATAAAAAGTGCCTTCGTTAAGTTGATGGACTCTAATGCAGTGTGAACTTGATGCAAAATAATTTTTATATTTGGATTCTTCACTATAATCAGAAGTTACATGTGTTGGATGCCAGATAATACACTCAACAGATTGATCATGACCATTAACTACATGTTTAAGTTTTAATGTATTTCCATCTAATAAATAAATGCTCCTATAACAAAATTAAAATGTAAAAACTACCAGGTAATAAATGTGCTTTAATTATACAAAAATACCCATTTGAATTTCCTATTGCAACCACATCATAATTTGGTTTCCAAGCCATTTCAATACGTTTAACGGGTGTTGTTAGCTTATCTTCAATTTCATTAAATTGAGTATAATCTTTTAAATGAAATGGATCTGAAATATATGTTTTTTTTTTACAACAAGTTAAGTCACAGCTGAAAAATTATATTTATACACGATATAAAAATTAATATTAGATGTTTACTAGTATTCTTATTTTCTTATATCATAATAAATATTAGACAGTTCTTTATGTTTTTACAACATAATTTAAAAATAAAAATAAATGTTTTCTCCTTTATTATCTATACATTTGGTTTCTTAGCTATGACTAATCATAATACAATCATACATCAAAATCTGTAACCTTAATTGGTTCATTTTCATACAAAACCGAGTCTCTATTTAATTTTTGAAACTACCAACAATTGAATTGACAAAGAACCACTTGCACATTATTTTTAATCAGTATTTAATAATATTTTACATTTAAAATTGCCTGTATCCAACCTCTTAAAAATCGGTTGTATATACTTAATAATGCATTTTTAGAGGATTTTGTCATACTCACATTAGTTGTTTGATTATTTCCACCTTACTAATATGTATCATACCAAATTATAAGTTCAGAATAATCTATTTTTATCTGCGATTTTTAATATTGAAGTTAATTGACATTTTTAAATTAACAAGTAAGAATGTGGAATTTATAATATTTTAATTTTAAGGCAAGTTATGAGCATTTTTCAATTGTAAATATAGATAAGACATGGGGAGGGGATGGAATTCTCTCAACTAGGTTAAGTTTAATTATTTTCACAAAACAATTTTAGGTGTATTTATAAGCTTAATATCATATTATATTCATAATACAACTTACCTGTCCAAAGACTCATGTCATTATAAATTACAATTTGCCCATTACCAACTGCATAAAGAGCCAGTTTTGAATCATTAACCATTTTTGTATTTGGAAATGGTGCCCAACATAACCGGTAAATTGGATTAGCAAGTACAGTTTTTAACAAGTTATTATTATTTCTTTTTCTTGTTAAATTAAAAACTCCAACACGTCCATCACCTGTAGCATATGCTAACAAACCTTCGTCTTGTGGATGAAATGCTAACTAAAAGGAAATTATATTTTAATTAATTGTATATTTCTAGTTAACCAGCCACCCAATATTTTGGTAAGAAAAGTTTTAAATTAGTCTGTCTAACTTACAGATAAGACTTTTGAGTCTACGGACTGACTCAATGTAATTAGTTCTAATTGACGTTTATTAGATACATTCCAATAATAAATTCTTCCATCGCCAAGACCAAATGCAAAGCTAATTATGATCAAAAGTATAAAATATATTATATTATGCTACAAAATAATATAAATGGTATATTTGTCGCATGCTTACTCGGCTGAATTAACTGGGGATAGTGAAAAGCAATACACAAAACCACCAAGCGTTGGAACTTCCAATGGTAATTCGGGAGCCTCTTCTTTACTCCTTAGTAAGGGAGTTCGAATTAATTTTCTACCCATACATGATGACCATAAATAAAGATTGGTTGATTCCCTAATTTACAAAAAATATCATTGATTACAGAAATGAAACAGTTTATATTTTAGTATTATACATACCGAGGACATGCTATAGAAAAAATTATATCCTTGTGGGAATCACTAATCAAAGACACTATTGGTCCACATACCAAATCTGGTCTAAGTTCTATTTTTATAATTTCTCCAAAACCAGATGTAACAATAAGAATTGAAGGTTTTATCCATTTAACACAGCTCCACAGTAAATTATTTTTATTTCTGAAAATAAATATAATATTCAAATTATAATTATGATTAAGTCTTACATTTATAAGGAAAATTGTATATACAGTAAAACCTCCCTATAACGGAACCGCTTGGGACTCAATTTTTTTCCGTTATAAAGAGTTTTTCGTTATAGGGAGGTAGAAAAACTATTGAAAGATTAATAGAAAATTATTGACATTTTCCTTTATAAGGAGGATTCCGTCTAATAGAGGGTCCGTTATAGAGAGGTTTTACTGTATTTAAATATGTATGCCAAAACAGCAGTTAGGTAAAACAAGAGTAAGAAAAACAATACAAATTGTGTAATAATTTATTATGTATACCTGAATGTAGATTTTCTCATTGGTCTCATAGGTAATGCAATGGTAGTTTCATTAAACATATCTAAACCAGCACGACTTATACATAAACCAGTTCTATCACATGCTATTGATGCTAGTAATAAAGGTTCAACAGATTGATCAGAATTCAATGGACTATAAGGAACTGGACACCAAGCCAATGAATTTATATTTCTTTCGTGGTAATGCAATTTGTGTAATAATTTGCCATCACCTAAAAAAATTTAAACTCTAAATTTCTAAATATTTCTTGAATTATCATTTATCCATACCAGTTAGGTCATAGACAAATAGATGACCATTTTTACATCCTATAGCAACTAAATTCTTTTGTGAGGGCAAAGCTGCTAATGTTAAAGGTGAGGCTTTAATATCTAACGTATAATTACGCATTGTTAATGCTTGAATATCCCACTTGTGCAAAGTCCCAGCATCTGAAATGCTCACAACGGTTAAACATCCATACAACCATGTAACATCACCAGAGTTATGTTCTTACTTTTTTATTCTATATGAGAAAAAATCAATGATCAATTATTTATCGATGATTAATTATAGCTAAAAATACTAAATGTAACATACTATTTTTATTATAGTTTGAATTTAAAACAATTTAACTATAGCAAGTTAATTAGATTCTAATTTAAGCAAAACAACTTACTCCAAATGAATGTATGTGATCACAGATCATGCTTTTTACTTTCCAGATGTAAATATTAACTTCATCTCTAGAAACCAATAAGTGCATCTTCTAAAATTCAGTTGTTAGGAGAAAATGATACAGCTCCAATACGACCACAACCCAATTTTGTATTCAGTCTAAGACGGTTATATTGTAAATCATAGACGCTTTTACCATCCAAACCACTAACTAATACAATGATAGATCTTGAGCCATATGCAATTAACTTTCCACAATCGTCCATAGTCATGACATTAGATTTGTACCAGTTCATTGACTGGGTAATCTCAAAAGTATTCATGATTCTAAAATAACAACAGTGAAATGAGACACTTTTGTTAGGTATACATTTGTAATATTTAAATATAAATAATGAGGTGAGGGGGAAATCGAGTTAATACAATTGTTCATTATTTGCACTTATACACAAATTAAAAATTTAAATACATTAAAAACGTAGTGAATTTATTGCTTAACAATAATTGTTCAATGCACACGTATCATCATATTATAGGAATTTGTGTAACTGGGTGTAATTATACGTGTCGTAAAAATAAAAATAAAAAATAAACAAGACAATATTTACAAACCTTCAGTGAACGGCCCGCGCACAGAGTAAAAGCCAACGAATACACGTCAAAAAGTATTACTTATAAGTAATACAGAGCGACGAGCTTTGGCGCACAACGCACGTGATAAAATATAATATATAACAATTTAATAGGACGATATGACTTCAATCCGATTGTAGCCCTATCGTTTAAATATTAACAGTGTATTATTATATTTATTAAGATTATTGAAATCGCTCTAAATTCCAAGTTGTAGGTAACATGTAACTTACAAATGACAACAATATTGAAAACAGTTGTAAAAATGTAAACGACGATTATTTTGTAACAATAATTATTGTTTAAAATTTTTAAACCGGTCGGTGAGTCGTGATTATGACGGTCGTTATCAATAACAAAAGGGGCGCACACCATAGATAATAATATGTTTATCTATCCCTCCATGTTATAACCGTGCTTATGTGAAACGAGGACAGCCTGACACGCCGCGCGCACGATAATTTAGCGCCGGGCACGGCCAGGCTGTTACGTTGCCGCATCTGCCGTTTGCGCCTGGCACCTTTTGTTCAGTTCGCCATCTTGCTCTCGTGTGACGCCTGTGTTGACGACTGTACGCCGTGTCGCCGTTTAAGGGGCTCGCCGACATTCAGATTCAACAGTGTGCGCCGCCGACACGACTGTGCTTTTGGCCCGTTCCGGTGACTCGTCTTCGTGTCCGTTAGACAGTTCGCAGGCCGCAGCCGCCGTTTCGCACAGGGACGACGGGAAAGGTGAGTCGCTTTCAGCCCTCGTTCGGCATCGTAGACAAGACAATCCGTCAAGTCACGTACGTTACGTTACGACATTGTACGGTTGGCGTCGTCGATTTACGTTTGTGTATGCAATTAGGCGTACACTCACGCACGCACTCGACAACCTTTTTTTTTTTTAGGCCTATCGTATAGGCAACGTATGTAACTGCCGATGACGTGACACGGTCCAAGGCGCCCGTGTCTGATATGTTGCGTTCCGATATACCGTGAAAGGAAGATTTAAATTCGTTGTTGCTCAGCACAAATCCGCAAGAGCACAGTTTTCGAATCCGGTTTTACGTTTTGCGTACCGTTTTTTTGTTATGAATCAATATCGTCGGTATTGTTTGATTGGTTTTTGGTTTTAGACTTGTCTGCAGTCATTTGGGCGCGGTAGGTGACGAATGTGTGCACAAGTGTAAATTATTTTACGACCATCGATTATAATATTGTTAGGAGTCTACGGTATTCGTAGTTATAAAGAAATCCATCGAATTTTTTTTTATTCATAATATTATATCTTATTTCTAATAGGTAGGTACAGTACAATAAACCATTTGTGTCATCCGCTTGAAAACCTTGAAAATGTACCAATATAATGCACGATGCTTTTCTAACTTTTTGATTCTTGTTACATAAATATTTCTATTAAATAAATCTTAGGTTTGAATTTTTTCTTAATACAACCAATCGATAAAAATCAGGACAAAAGCATTTAATTTTTTTATTTATCTAACCAAATATGGGGCTACCTACTCAATCATTGTAATCAATAAAATAAAATACTATGTACCTATTTGAGTGTTGACCTAGTGAATAAAATATTTATTCTTTTGTTACTCTTATTCTATAACAATTAAGTTAGTTTTTTAATCCCTATTTCTATAAAACACAACATGGAAATTTAAATATTTACTTTTTACTTATTTTAAATATAGCCAAAATATGGAATCGGCACCAAGAAAACGTGGTCGACCCCGAGTAGTTAAAATGGAGAAACGCAGCCCAGAACCTGAAGATTTAGAAGCAATATTACAAGGAATAGATGATGAGGCTATTGAGGATTATGATTACATTCCAAATGGTGTAGACTATGAAGTTATCAAAAATAAAAAAAATATCAACAATAATGAAGATGTGTATGACTTTGATGTAGAAAAGGAAGATGGGCCTGGCATAAGTAATTTCATAAAATGGAAAATAAATCTAAATAGCAGCATTAATTATTATTTTTATTATGTTAACAGTAAAAGCGGAAATAGTTCCTGAACCCGATACACAAGAACATGCTTGTGATATATGTCCTAGGACATTCAAAACCCGCCCTGGTTTAAAAAGACATAAAACATCACATGATCGGAAACCTCAAGAAACCATTGGTAATTATTAGATTATATTTATCATATAATCATCATATATATTATATTTATCAGTTGTTTTAATAATATTTGTCTTCATAATTTTAGTTTTGAATGATGATTCAATGAAAAAAGAATTAAATAACTGTGACTGTTGTGGTGAAGATTTAGCTACTGCTCATACGGTTTGAAAAACATAACAATTATTTTTTTAAATGGTAGTAAATATGACTGTATTTCAGAATGGTGATTTTGAATGTTATGATTGTGGAAACTTTTTTAAATTAAAAGTCAATATGGAGCGCCATCAGTTAATGGTACATTGTTGTGATGACATTTTAAACTGTCCCACTTGTGACTTCAATTGTAAGGACAAAGAAACGTTATCTCAACATTTGTATGCTCATGCCGGTAAATATATATATATTTTTAATTTTATACTTATTATATTAATTATAAATATATGGATTGTTTTTAGGAACTTTAAAACCGTATTCATGTCCCGTTTGCTTTACATCATTCAGTAGGAAATATCATCTTGTACGTCATAATATGCAAACTGGTTGCGATGGTTCAGAAAAACCCAAATTTCCTTGTCAAGTAAATATAATTTATTTATACATTGTGAATAATTTAACTTATAATGAATTGATTTAAGGTTTGTGGAAAAGTTTTTAACCGAAAGGATAATCTAAGAGAACATTTACGGGCTCATGCTGGTCAAACTAAAAAGAAACGTACTTATAATTGTGAATATTGTAATAAAGAATTTGTTGGCTCTGCATTATTAACAGTTCATAGAAGAAGTCATTTAGGTAAATTTAAATACTTTTTGTAATTCAATATATTTCCTACATTTCTTATTTTCTGTATATGTTTATGCTAACATCAATACTGTAGGATTGCAATTAAAGGTAATTGTTTATTAGTTTCTGGTGTGTGACAAATAAAGATAAATTACATGTCTTATGATTGAAATATGTATTTTATTTTGTATATAGGTTACAGACCATATCAATGTGATTTATGCGTTAAACGTTTTCCGTCCAGTGGAGCCATGAAAAAACATCGTAGAATTCACACCGGTGAACGTCCATATGAATGTCAACAAGTTAGTTTTTTATTCAAATATTAATTACATAGTGGATTTTTCTAATTTTAAAACTGTTTTAGTGTTACGCTAAATTTGCGGCCAAGGAAACTTTAAATCGTCATATCAAAACACATACCGCCCTTAAACCACATTCTTGTGAATTCTGTGGCAAGACCTTTATACAAATTTCACAATTGCGGGCCCATTTATTCCATCACACAGGTATACAAGTAAAAACTGGTTATTAAATTTTTAAGCTATAATTATTAAAAAAATTTCAGGTGAAAACGGTTTTACATGTGATATTTGTGGCAAATCTTTTAATCGTCGTTCGCGTTTGACACTCCATACTAGATATATCCATGAAGGAGCTCAACCATTTATGTGTACTGTATGCAACAAGGCTTTACTACGAAAAGAAGATGTACAGAGACATAATATTGTTCATTCTGGTATTAAAGCTCATGCATGTCCTATTTGTGACAAACGGTTTGCTATGAAGTCTTCATTAAAAATTCACTTATTAACACATACAAAAGAGCCTCCACGAGCATGTGATGAATGTGGTCGTGCATTTATCCGTCAAGATTGTTTATTACGTCACATGCGTTCAAAACATAGAGATATGTTAGCTGAAATTATGGCTGATGCTGAAAAGAAAAAATTAGAAGCTCAGCTTTCGGGGGTTGGGAAGAAAGATAAAAATGACCAAAACGATTCTGATGAAATTGACAATGATAGAGAAGGTGACGATGAAAGTATTGATGAATTAGAAGATAATGGGTCAACCACAAGTGAAGAATCCAATCAAAACAACACTTTGGCAGAATCACTAATGGAATTGCTGACCGTGTTAGTAGATGAAAGTACACTTAAAGAATTTGGCTGGCCAGGAACAACGGTTGATCATTTAATTGAATCTGTGATAAAGTATGTAAATTTAAAATTTTTTCACTAGTCTTCAAAATAAGAGCACACCAGATTTATGTTACAAAACCGGTTTTGACCGTGGCTGCCTGGTGTCTTCTTATTCTGAATAGAGTATAACAGTTAATTTTAAATTCTTAGAGATGCAATTTAGTTATATGAATGTTATCTTCTTATATACCGCTACTATAAGTTTTTTTTTGTACCAATGAATATATTTTATTTATAGCATTAATGCATAATATTCAAAATTACACCTCTAAAAATATTTTGAGTTTGTTTGGTAAAATGAATAGACTTAACTACATCGTTCATTTTTTAGTACCTATGTCAATATTTATGATAAAGTAATAGTTGTTATTTTATTTTAGGAGATGCGGTCACTCTCCTGTAGCCACTGAAGATGCTTCATACATGACTAGACTTAGGGATAATTCAAAGCAATTATTTTCAATTATCATTGATGATTCAGCTATTCAAACACTACTCAGCAACCAAACAATTGAGGAAGTTATTGAACATGTTTTAAAATTGGCAAAAGCGTAGTATAGAATCCAATCCTATACAAATTGTTTTTAATTTTCATCCACTTTCACTCGGTTGTTATAACTAATTTTTCAAAGGTCAGACTTTATTTTTATAATGTTTAAATGTACGCTAGAAATGTAAGTTTTAAATATTAATAGTTTTAATTATATATTATTTTATTGACTTATGTTAAAATTATTATGTCATGCATATTATGTCAGTTTCCTGTTTTTTATTACATTTTAAGGTTAATATTTTTAACTATTAAATAGCTTATATTTAATATTTCTGAGAAAAATGCACCTTATTTTATTTTTGGTATTTAAATTTATATTATTATTTTATTTTACTTACTTTAATTTAGATTAATGTTTTAGTTATCATAATATTCTTATAAAAATTAGGTGTATGGCATGGATTGAATTTAATAAATAATTAATGTGTAAAAAAAATTGTAATGTTTTTAAATAATACCTTCATCATACCAATTCCTTGTTGGTTTTATTATAGTTACATAATGATATGTTTCCTACAGCAATTTTTTTTCCATAGTCCAGAAGTGCACTTTATCCAAACATATATTATATTATGTGATAATAAACATATTTCTATTATTTTGTATTTGTAGTAACTATTTTTATGTATTGGCAGTTGGTACTCATAAAACAATAAACTTGATAATATTAAAGTTAGAAAAGCTGGTAAGTGGATGTCGCTCTGCTGTACAGTAGGTTTTAAGTGTAATTGTATAATGGATTGTATTAAACTTGAATAATATCATTGTTTAAGAAAACGATTCTGAGCAGAGACGGTTTATCAGTCTGGATATTTTATATTGTTATTATTTATTATATCATGTAAGTTGAAATATTTTTATTTTTTATTTGTTTCTATGGTGATAAACAGAGCGTTAGAAATTAATATCCCATTATTAGCGGTTTTTCGTAATTTTTAGGTGGTTTTTCCCGTGGCATTAAATAACTATTGATAAAATCAAAAAATGACCTCTCTAAAGTATCATCTTGATGCAATTTGCTAAAAGATAAGGTACTAGATGTTGAAATCGAAGCACTCTTTCTGGAAGAAATTTTGTATACAGATTATAAAAAAAAAAAAATAAACACCTTTGTAAAACCACTAGCTTCCTCGCTCCGCTCAAAATCGAAAAAACTAAAAAAATTAACAACTACAATTTTTAAGTATATTATGCTAGCAGGGTGCAATGTGCATCATACACACCAATGATATATGTCATATAAAATGTATGGATTGTATTATTGTGATCTATGATGCAGTTCATTATCAATTGTATAAATATTAAATATTAGTTTTAGATAAATTAGACTCATCTTAGGTACCTATCTACCTATCGGTTTACCAAGAAAAATTGAGTACGCCAAACATTTGGTTGTTAAGGCAGTAATCTTAATATTTTAAAAAATAATTAATAGTAACTTATAACTGGTCCGTACCTCGGATAACTATTACCTATAACATTTAATACGAATTTGCGCTTTTGTACCTTGGTAGTGGGATAAAAGCGCAAAATTGAATTGTATTACCTGATACATTATTTTACTAACCTAAGGCTCGATGCTCTTCGCCTCTTCATATGCGCGTGGCCATTCCACGACAGATTGCAACGACGCGTCTCGAAGTTCGTTGCATTATTGTCTATTTGTCTCTGTCTTATCGAAACACAATACGATGATAATCATTTAAGATAGGTAGGTAACTTAGATAACTACCTATAATATACAATATATTATAGTATATACGGTATAAACTTACATTAAATGGGATTTTTGACAACTATATATAGATTATTATTTATTACTATATCAATAAATATGTGGCTTATTGATCCGTTTTATTTTTAATTGAAATTCGAGTGAAATGTTTTAAAATTTAAATCGTATACCAGATATCATAGCCACCTATATAGCCCAATCAAATTAGAAAAAAGTTCGGAACTGATTCCACGAAAGCTGGATTTTGATTTTTTTTTAGTTTATACCTCACTTATAAACATACTAAAAGTCCTGACACCTACGACCTACCCCTTGTGCGTAGCCCTACAACCCCTTCAAAGGGTGGCGCGCACCTTTCACTTTTTTCGCTTATAACTCGTTAGCTTTACAAGTTACAATAAAAATACCTATAACCAAAACTAAAGACCATACAATTTACCATAGACTAATTCTACATTTAATATATATATGTTGAGGCAAGTGTTATATTTTTAAAAAATATAAAAATTAAATTTTTTCTTTTTTTTATTGTGTTTGAGCAAAATAATTGTTCTTGGCTTTTTGAAGTGTTGAATCTGATTAGTTTCGTGCTTATAAAAATATCACAATATTCATTGCATATTTGCATCATTACCTTAAAATCGTCTATGAGAGTATATACAATACAATAACCGGTATAGGTACGAGGTACCCTGTGGTTCTTTTACGCAAACATAATGTAGACGTATTATCGCGTATATTTATAATGTAGCCTGTAGGTACCGTAAAACGAGCCAACTTGGGACGAGTATTTAATTCGGGCCAAAAATATTATATTTTAGTTTTACCTCCAATTAAGATAGTACTATCTTTAATCGTGATCCCATTAATAATGTCGATGTGTTAGAAAAACATATATTTTATAATAATAATACACATATTATGTGTTATAAATTATAATAAAATAATATATTATAATAACTGATAAAGACGATATACCTAAATTATATAAAATACTACGACCCCATCGCCAACGACCATACCACGTTGAATACACCAGTTCTCGTCCGATCACTGAAGTTAAGCAACGTCGGGCGTAGTTAGTACTTGGATGGGTGACCGCTTGGGAACACTACGTGCCGTTGGCATTCTTTTTTCTACTTTTTTAAGTAAAAATTTTTGATAGTAAATAGCGTATAATTTTTTACTGAAAAATGAATTGGTAATATTTTGTTAACATTTTGGTACTAAATACATTCATTCTGTAAAATCATACAAATATATAATGCTATCTAAGATACCTAACTCAAGCAACAATGTATTTATAGCAAATTATATAGTTTACAACTTAATATTATATAATAAATACACCATAGTTAATCATATTTATAAAATATTAACAATAATAATAATATTCAGATACGACTCATGGGTGTTTGCCCCCTATGGCTGTTATCAGAATTTTAAAAATATACCTGCAGTTGCCCTCTCATTTTAATATATACACGATTACAATATATAGCCCCTAAATAGGGGAGGTAAATATACAAATAATAAATACAATTATTCATACAAATTAAGTAAAATAGTAAAAAATGCGATTAAAAAATATTCATAATAAATAATATAATTAATAATTACAATGATAAGTGGCATTCAATGTTATAATTTTTCAAAAAAAAAAAAAAAAATAGTAAAAAAATTAGTTATAATAATATAATATATTATGTTTTGTTATGATAACTATTAACAAATTTTACAAAATCGAATCTACTAATATTCTTGAATTTATATTAATTTATAAAATCTTCAACTCTGGCTCTTTTGTTTAAGTATGTGTGATTAGTAATATTTTTAATTTCGTTTACACTGCTAATGTACCTATGTATTTGTTTGTACTTCTCTTATAACATTTTCCATCGGTGTTAACAGCGTCAGTGCTTTTCGTCTACTAAAATGTACCTATCAAAGACGTAGGTTGTATACATCGTATATTCGTATCATATAATAATTTCTAACAACCATAAAAATACTTATGAAGATAGATATAATGACAAGCGTATTCCGATACAGACTAATATAATTATTGTCGTTACTCGTTACCCACGCGATAAATCGGCTATTCACGCGTCTAAAATTATGCGTTTTGTAAAAATCCTCGCTTTGCACCAAGTAGGCTGTTATTATTAATACAATTTTAATTTTATCCATATTAATTGTATAATATATTATATTTATTATTTATTACAAAATACAATATCATATATATAATTGCAAATATAAAAATTTGATTCTATAATTTTATAGTATTTTACTTGATTCTTATAAATAGTTTTATTTATTATTTGTATATTTACCACCCTTATTTTAAGGGCTATATATTGTAATCGTGTATATATTAATATGTGAGGGCAACTTAAATATTCGGCTGGAGGCAACTAATACATTTGGTTGAGAGCAAATTGGTACATTTTGCTCTAGGTATAGTTTGGGGGGAATTGGTATAAAAAAGATACTTTTGGGGGCAACTGGTACATGCCCCGGGCCCCCGACTCATTACTCAACGACGTTGTAGTAATTTAGCCTAAAAATAATAGGTAAGTACTCATGTGAGCATGTCACATTGTCACCTATGGAAATGGCCGTGGAATATTTTACGGAAAGCATATTGTGATGATATTTGATCTTAATAATTCTTAATAATAATTGTAATTCAAAATAAATTCTTAATAACAATCTTACTTTTCTATTTTCTACCTAATAATCATAGACGCAATTTCAATTTTTGATTTGGGGGGGGGCTGGATATATTATAGGCAAGCAGACCATTGCAATATAGCATTTTAAAATTGTATGTCCTAGGTTTTTGAGGGGGCTACGGTTACGTTGGGGAGGTGTAATCCCCCGCCCAATTTGCGACTATGCTAATAATACATTGTCAAAATATTGAGAAAATGTTTTATGGAAAATTCTAATATAAATATTTGTTGAAAATGTCAAGTTTCTACAGTTATTAATTTTTGAGATACACCAAAAAAATAAAATCGATTTTTTCAAAAATTGGTTTTGTATAAAAGTCACCTATTTTTTTGTTTTTCTCAACGCTTTCTAAAACTACTTTTATTTTTAATTTTAACTTCCAGAAAATACCAACTAGTTTCACTTTTCTATCAGACATCAGTAAAGATGCTGATCTAGAAAATCGGAGAACTTTTACTACCCCATGCAAAACAGAAAAAAAACACATCATTATAAAATCAATACATTTTTTCGCTCCTCTCAGAATCTAATATATTATAAAATCATTACCAATAATTTTATTTTCTTAGATATTCCTTAATAAGTTGTAAGGGGCTTAGTGTAACATTTGTTTTCTTTTTCAGACGCAAATTTACGTTTGGCATAACCATCTGTATTGTTACTTTTAATATTCGAGTGAATTCACCCATTATCAAAAGTTAAGCTTATTGCTTATGTCGGTATGTTGGATTATTTATGATATTTTAATTTTAATTCAATTTATAAGCAATAAGAATTTTTAACTAGTAAAAACAATCAATTATGTTAGATATATGGACTTATAGTTTCAATTTTGGTGAAAAAATAATTTTCTCACCAACCCCTCCCCCCACACAAAGTTTTTTAACCAGTTAAGCCACTGCTTATAATAGGTACTAATATAATATAGAACCCTCCATATTTTCATGGCATGATTTCAGCAAAAATATTAAATCATCAATAATTTATTGGTTGATTGGTTGACTATAACTTATAATTATAATTTATAAATAATACGTAGGTGTATCTACCAAGTTTAATCGTTATTGTTTTCTTTTTAAAAATAACATTGATATAATAATAAAATACTATCAGAATATTAGTACACACAGTAAGACACTGTGTACATCTTTATACATTTAACATTTATAAAAATGTCAAAGTGTTAATATAGATACCCAGTAAAAACAGTTGAGTTAATTACATAATTATTTTCGAAGAATTATTGTTATTACAATTGTAGAATTAATATGTAAAAAGATAAATACATGGTATTATAATACACGATTGTTGAAACTAAAACGTAATACGTAAAAAGTAATTAAATAAACAATAATTAGCATTATTCAATCGATTAATAATTATATTGGGACGAATTACACTTGTCTTTCAGTATAACGTATAATGTTTTATATGACGTTGATCTCTACGTTTGATTTGACGCTCTACTATCTGTAGGTACCTAATATTATTATATGCAGCCCATATAATATATTATAACTACCTATACAAACAAATCCATCAGTATAAACAAAATGAAGACATCTTTAGTGATTACAATCGCGTTGTTCACGATTTTTACTATATCAGGTAAATATATATAATTTAATTTTATGATGGTGACGATTGATGATGATTCCTATAATTTAGAGACACCATAATATTATTTTTTAACCAATATCAAAGTTAATTGTGAAAAATTGTGTAACCTCAGTAATTCTTACCAAGCTATAATTTATACATCGATTATCAACAACAGGTAGTTGATGATTTTTAACACATTTTGTTTGTGTTTTTTCAATGAATAAAATTAACGATTGTAATTTTTAAGCAATTAAAAATGTAGGTAGGTATATGCAACTTTATTGTCAAGGCCGGATTAAGAACCTTTTGGTCCCCGGGGCTGAAATTTCATATGGGCCCTTTTGACAAAATATTCTTTAAAAAGCCGCTCGCAGCAACATACATTTTTCTAAGTATTTTGCAATAGTTAAGTTAAGGCAGCTTGTACATCGACGCATATAGTGCATGTGTACACTCAGCCTCTATTTAGGCATAAGGCGTACAATATTATGCTGTCAGCGTCTGCGTCACTTATGTAGTTATATATTATGTAGACATGTAGATATTGTATTATAGTATAATTATTTGTATTTGTAATAAATTTCAGAAATAAGCTGTAAAACATGTATGGGATTCAAGGAAAAATGTCTTGATGACAGTGACTGTTGTTCTGAAAGTTGCTACATGGCAGGCCATGTAAATGACAGATTTTGTATAAACCCCGTAAATTCAACCGCTGCTGTTAAAGGTATAATAATTTATAAATATTATTAATACAACATAATATGCAGAAATGACATAATTTGTATTTATATTGTTTGTTTTTTTCTTTGTTTCACGACATAAAGTTGAACATGGTTTGTGTTCATACAATGCATCGTTCCATAAAGAATCCAGCGACCATATGTTCAAGTTAATAGGGATGAATGCAGCCCACGCTATGTTGCCAAAAGGCTCAGAAATTAAGTTAACGAACGCGGCCAACAATAAAACTATAGATGTCACAATAAATAACTATTTGCAACCAAATAACGAAACCCTTTTGCAGTTATCCAAAGAAGCAGCACGAGAGTTAGGTGTTAAAGATGGAGAGACAATTCCATGTTCTGTATATCTTTATGAAAAAGAAACTAACTATTCTGCAGTCAAAAAATTTATTGGCTTTTCTGCATCATTCTTTGTAATTGCATTCCTCATATTTAATTATATGTAAAATATAGTTACAAAGTACGAAGGAGTCGACGCGTTTATCTCATACGATAAATGTTTCTATTATATTATTGTTGGATTAATTTTATTTTTAAATATCCAATTAATATAAGCTATTAAAACTGTATGTAGTAAGTCTATAATTATTAATTATTACCGAATTCTGATTATTATTCTTAATTATTCTTTTCACGTGTATGTTAGCATGTCGTATAGAATTAAATTGGAAAATGGATTTCACATATTTTAAATAAAACACTTCAAGACTTGGCTGCAGAAACATAATATTTTACATATCATATTATATGTGTATACATGGCATATACATATCCATAGCTAAGATACTGAATTTCGGTGTATTATGTATTTAGAGATACCTATAATTATAATTAATATAATACATAATAAATTATAGGCACCTTAATAGGATATTAATAGGTGTACATTTTAGACTGTATGGAGATATTTTTCCACATGAGTTACTAAAATATTAAACAGTTGACGTTTTTGATTCAAACGGCATTTGAATATCTTTAACACATTCAATTATAGATATTATACCTATCATTAATTTTAAATACCTACTATTTATAATCAATGTAATTTTGTTATTATTATAAAAATAGAATATTTATCTAATATTTAAGTAGGTACTTATCAGTAAATACTATTACTTTTATTTTAAATCGTATAGTTTATTAAAGTCCAAACCACATAACTGGTGTATTTACATTTTAAACCAAGCTTTTGAAAATAAAAAGCTTTATCGTGGATTTATTGTGTATAATAATTAATAGGTAATTATATAAATAATATACATTAATACTTCGGATTTACCGCTTGGTATATATTTTAATCAAAGGTTATTCCAGTGTTTGCAGAAACAATGATAGCGTACCTTCTTCAATATAAAATAGTACCTATAGTACCTAATTATTTTTCTTGTATGAGGGGAATAAAGCCTGTAAGGGCCTTAAGAGGGAATTACATTTTTACAACATGGCTACAACCTACATAAGGTCAACCTGCACGCCTCATTTTAAACTTTGATTTCCTAGGGGCTAGGGCTCAAGAACCATGTCGGCTGTCACCACTGCCAAATCCTAGTTATACACTTATAAAATTACCTACCTATACGTTTTATAATGTATTATATATTTTTTTGTTCTTAGAGGATGAATGTATTGATTTACAATGATGTATTGTGTTTTTCTTTTGGTGTCCGGAGACAGTTATTATTAAGTATTAAATTATGCTATTAAAGCATTATAGAGTGTAAAAAGTAAAAAAATGCTCAGTACCTACCTACCTATTCTTGACAAAAAAAAAAATTGAGAAAAACTAAAAAAAAATCACAGAAAAAACGGGAATAATTAGGTACACAACATCAGATTTCGACTAAATAAGGTTTTGTAAAAGCAAATATTTATATGAATGTTTTAGACATAATTTACAAAATATTTTGGATCTTATAGAGCTATTAATAAACATTTTCAACTATATTTTCCATTTATATTGATAACCTTTTTTTTTTTAAGACAAAGAGCTTGTAAATATTTAATGCTAGGTTCCTATTGAGTATTTTTATTAGAATTTTTAAACATACTATATTCATAGGCTGGAATAGCTCAAAAATGCGTTAAGGATTGGATTTTTCATGTATTTAGACCAATAAGCTGGCGAAAAATACACATACTTCTAGTAGTCCAATTTCAATTTTGAATGCTTATTTGGATTCGTTAGCCTCTTTTCTATGATCTGTAGGAAAAACTTTTTCATCTTTTTGTCTAGTTAGCACTTAAAAGTGCAAGTCAAATTTGAGAAATCAAGCAGTCATTTGGAACCGTAATATACGTAAATTATCTAAAATATCCAAAATCGGTTTCCTACAAATCATAGAAAAGAGGCTGACGAATCCAAATAAGTATTCAAAATTGAAATTGGACTACTAGAAGTATGTGTATTTTTCGCCAGCTTATTGGTCTAAATGCATGAAAAATCCAATCGTTTAGAGCTGCCTTAACAAATTGTATTAATGTGTATTTATGTATTAATGTGTATTCTGATTTCTGGAGTCTAAACATATTATGTATTATAAATACAAATTATAACATTTCTTTGTAGGTACTAACCAATTTTTTATTTTTTTATAATTTTAATAATAATATTAAGTGTTCAAATTCTCAAAATAATATACAATCATTGTATATGAAAACATTTGTTTTTTTTTGGTTGTTTTTATAGGTTAGGTATACCTTAGTGGGCCGATTTTTTTTTTACTATCCCGGTAGACATTTTTGACCCAGTCCGGCCCTGTGTGAAGGACGCGAATCGCCATATATTATATTATTATATTTGTTTTTGTGTCAAATTATTTAAACAGGCACAAGTAGCAAGCTTGCGAGTTTATATACATATTATTATATCATATTATTATAATAATAATATGTATATAAACTCGCAACTAAATATATGGTTGTGAATTCCTTTTTTAATATTTAATTTTATGTGTAATTGAAATTTGCTTTTTTAGAATTAAATTAATAAATGCTTTTTTTGGCTACTTAAAATGCTTTTTTAAGGATTTATTTTGCTACAAAATCCGAGTCCTAATTATTATAGTTTTTACGAGCTTACTGCTCAAACGACGGTATAGCTATACCTATATTTTATTCTGTCTGGCCAGGAGGGCTCATATTATTATACGTATCGTACTGTTTTGGCTTACGAGTTACGGTCCGTGCTTAATTATTATTTTATCTGTCGTCTTTTTACTGTAATACAGCAATATTTAAATACCGTTATGTTTTAGCTACCATTTTTTTGAGTTACATTTCTGTTGTTAGTAGTTATTTCAGCGCACGCCCGTCACCCACACATATGTAGGTACACACACATTTACACACCCACCACACACTAGCCTTACCGAGCAAGTCTTTGATAGTCTTGCTCGGCGAACCCGTCCACTTCGACCGAATTGCGAATACATGTATGCACTCATCATACGCAGGTCTTTGGGGTGCGAGTGCGATACGAAGTATTGTGGATACCAAGGTCTATTGTGGTTCGTTTCCGGCCCAAACACTCGTTTTTAATAACCGTGTTTTAGTTACTAAAATTAAGGGTGTCAGAAATTAAAACAATTAGTTACACTTTTGATTCGTTTATTAGGCATTAGAAAACATGAGATAAACATTAGGTACAAACAATATAAACAGCAGCTACAACACGTCGAGGAGCACATGAAAGTCGTGCACCGCGGTAGCTATTTTAATTTTAAACAACAGTACAACACGTCCCGTCGGCGGAGCACATGACCGCGGTCGTGTGTATAAACAGAAGGAGGCAGAAGTACAACTGATTCAGGTCCTCGGCTTGGAGAACCCGAGGAGGTGGCTATCAGCGGGACCACGCTATCAACTGTAAGTATAGAAATTATATATAGGTACAGTGACAACAGAAAATATTTTACAGTTTAGGTGGTATGTTGGAACGTACCTCAATTTTATAATTGTTGACAACATTGAAACGATGGTCATGACTTTCGTCATAAGCCCAGTCAGACATTATTTTCTTTGATCTTACCCTATTCACCATTTGCATATGTGGAGGTAAATCCCGATATGCAGTGTAATTTTTCCCCGCAAACTTAACAGGCTCTGTAAATAAAATAAAAAATTAAACGACAATATAGAAAAAACTTGTGTTGATATAGTTTCTGTCGTGCTTTTTTTTTGCTTATTATAATATTTTTAAGTTCTTATATGAATGCTCAGGTATATGAAGTATTTAAGTGCTTTTTTTTATGTATAGGTGCTCTAAATCCCGAACCCCGGTTATGACTGTTATGAGTGTATATACAATTTTACAATTTAAAAATTCACATATCCGACATGTTCTTAAATTTGTTGTATAATAGGTCAAATCACCCTAAAACTAAAGATAACAACACAAGGTCGGTTTTGCTGAACACACATTATGTATGTTGAGCGTGGGTCAGAGAGAGAAAAAAAAACTGTACAGACATCCTCTTAATAACAACTGCAAAAATTACAAGAAATAATAATATAATATTATTATATACAATTTGTTTTAGCAACAAACCTACCCATAATATGACTAATAGAAAAATTA